TTGTAAGCAATGACTTGTGCTCCTACATTTGGCATTTAGCTAAAAGCAATTTTTGTTCAAAAATATAAGTAGTTCTTACAAGGCCTGCAGATGTGTCGTTTCAGTAGGATACAGTTTTATCATTAATCAACGCTTTTCTCTGATGACTTCTGCTAAGGTTATGGTCATTTAATCCATCTTCATTGATAAGAGTGATCTTTTTAAAGCCTTGCTATTAGATCTTGGTGTTCTGTGAGTTAGACTATGGCATCATCAAACCTTGCTCTCCTGCTCTGGCCTGTAGCGCCTGTCTGTGCTGCGCAATTGAGTGCATCAGACTGTGCGTTCAGTCAATCCTGCTTAAGTCAAGCCTCTCATCACAAAGCCTCCATCAGCTTGTCTTCTGCAAGGAGAATTTATCAGTAAGTCAGCAAGAGAAGGGCTTAAGACCACAGCCCATGTGCCCTGTGCAATGTGCAATGAAATGTCAGTGCCGTAACCCCTCAGTTCTACGTTATTATTTCATTGGTAAGGAGGCATTTGCTGAGAGAAGTCTCTGTCCTTTATTTAAAGAGAATGTAATGAAACCAGAAATCTTGTACAAGGCCAAACCAGGGAGTCTTCTTTTTCATATCTGCCTATGTTGTCAGTATTTTGGGAGAAGATACAAGAATAAAAAAAAAAAAGCTAAAAAAAAAAAAAGATTCATTTTTCTCATCTCTTTGTAGTTGCTTTATAGGTGAAACTATATGGAAGCTGAGATTCTTTACCTCTTGTATATAAATAGGGCCAGTTGATTTGCCCCTCCGTTATATTTTGTCTTTAAGCAGTCATCCAGTTCCCTCTTAAATATGCTAAATTCTTAGTCTGCCCTTATGTGAAAGTATTTTCACATGAAATAGCTGGCATCTCCTGCATTTTGAACGTTTTAATTTTTCTGTATCTTTTTTTATACAATAAAATAGTTAATAGAAAGTTCAAAGTCAGAGTGCCTAGAATGGGATCATTGATTTTTAGAAGGTTACTATAATTTTTCTGTTATTTTCAGTTCACTTCTATGTACAGGCTGATATTACCACTTTGACCTCTCTATAAAGCAACACTTTCACCAAGCATCACTGCGAGGGTGTACTGTTTCCCTTTCTAATTGATTATAGTTAACTTAAAACCCAGTGATGTGTGTGAGTGGCTGGGGTTATTTATTCCAAGAAGTATTACTGAGGTGCATTCGACTGTGAATTTCATCTGCTCCTTTGCTGCGTATTCATTTAGTTTTATTTGATACCACTGGCAGTTGTAACTAAAAAAATCTTAAATAATTCTGTCTTGGATAGATTTTGCTCTCTCCTTGAGTAGGTTTGTCTCTGGTGAGAGACCTTAACTTGCAAACAAAATTCCATGTTGAATATAGGTCACCAATGTCATGCTGTAAAAGGACAATCAGGGAACTATAAATAGGATATTGCCTCGGAGGCACAAGAAGTAACTAATCTTCAGTTCTGCTCAGAAATGGTGAGACTTCTTTCGAGTACTGGGCATAACATCTTAAGAAAGATGTTGACCAGCTGGAGAGTCCAAAGGCAAACATGAATCATCAAACGCTTTGACTATATGACATGCAAGCGTGTGTGTGAAGAATACAAGGCTGTGTGTGTGTTAGTAATTTTTAGATAGGTAAATGGATTTTGCAGAGTGGAAAGAAATAATCTGTTCTTTGTGTCCATTGTGCAGACAAGAAGTTGTCACTGTGACCTGTGACTGCACTGTTCATGTTGGACATTAGGAAAATATTTATGAAGGTGTGGATAGTCATCAGTGTGCTTTCTACATATCAAGCAATATTTGAATGTGTCCAGATCTTCTGCTGAAGAGCAGAACCTGGTCACTTGAAAATCTTTGTTTGTGAATGCATTTCAGGACATTAGATAGCAATCTAAGTAATGTTTCTAGATTGCTCTGGAAAAGGTGCAGGAACCTCATCTGATTTCTAGCAAGTGCTCTTAGTATTTTCACTGTCACAGGTTTGGGAGAAAAGAAAAAGGAAGACCCAGAAGACACATGCAAGTACCTGAGAATAAGCTGCTATATGTTGTTAAAAGGATGCCAATGGCAAAAGAAGGAGCACACGCAGGATGAGAGTTCTGGGTCGTCATAATCCGGTGGTATCTGGTGGCAAAGTGATGTGCCTTGTCACAAGGTAGAGGGTAGAGAAAAGCTGAAGACCAAGGTCAAGGCTGCATCTTGATCTTCTCACAGGCTAAACTCTAGGACTTGATCAGAAAAATAACTCACAAGAATTGCCTGTCCTAAATATGTTGTTTTGGCTAATTATAGTTTGGTTATTTACAAGGAAAGACAGTGATAAAAACTTGATAAACCCATCACATTCTTCGGTAAATGCAATTGTTATTGTGAAACACAGGAGATCTCATCATGGACAAGACCCTCTAGGCTACAAAAACAGAATAAACAAATGGTGTATAACCCACTGGTCTTGCAGATAGCGCAGCTGTGGTGTTTGCCCACTAAATAATTGTTGGGGAAAAAATCATAAAGCATTGATTTATCTGTAAGCAAGAGTACTACCCAGAATTTTATTTATTTCAGGTGCGTTTTAGTCAGTCCTGATTCAATCAAACGCTAGAAAACACACTTTTGCTCTCCTGTCAAGGCAACTTATTGTATTAGATGTTTCCCAAAATATCAAGAGAATTACATATGTATGAATGTCCAGGAAAGCTTTTGAAGGAAGGATACTAACGTTCTTGAAAGAATATCCTCATATTTTCACAAGGTATTAGTGATATTGCCATTTTTCTTTCCCTGCTATGGAGTTTTGTGGGCATTGCTCATCTCCAGCCACTCATCAGTGTCTGTTAGGGCACTTGAACTTATATTTGCCACCTTGAAATGCTCTAATCATGGCAGTGGATCCCTGTGGCAGAAGCCTGACAGCGGTCACTCTTTCAGGTTAGGATGGGGTTTGCTGTGGGGCTGGCACGTGGTAAGTGGGGTGGTGGAGCAGTTGTTGCAGGGGGCCTTCGCTAATCCCTCTGGTTCATGGGAATGCTCTAGCTGATTAGGCTGGATTTGGGGCAATTTTGTGAAGCTCCCTACCCATACCAGCATGTAGGATTGTGCCTTGAACATAATGGTAATATGCAACTGTTGTGCTTTATTGGATTTCCTTCACGTTGCCGTGGAGTCCACTGGGTATTGATAGTTCTTAATAAATGAACTGAATTTAATTTGTTGCTTAAAAAATCCATAGCCTGTGTATTAGAACTTCTTTTTTTCCATGTCTTCTCTCCTTTAGAAAGGTAGTGTTCAGGAGTGTGAGAAAAATGACAGAGGAGATGACTTCAAGGTGTAGATTTTAATTTCTGAAATTTTGGGTTAAAGCTTGCTTGCTGCTTAGGAAAAAATGCATTTTCTATTGGCAGAGGGAAATACTCTCACCACATTCTAGACCAGAACGTGGATGTGAAACAACAACTAAGTCAAATCCCTTCCAACGATCTCACTGTTAAAATACAGTTGAAATGGTTATTTGCTGTGTAATACATTTGCCTAAACTGGACTCACGTACCATGTACTGAGGTCAAGTGTGTTGTCTCGCTGAAACAGGGGCTGTTAAGGCTAAAGACCATGTTTGCATTAACTGGTACGTAACTCACTGGGGATGCAGCTGAAACACAGGAAACAATAAAAATAAGTGCTTCCTGGATTTGAATTTTTCTTTTTGGCAATCTTTCAGTAGTAACATAGCAGGATTTAACCATTGCCAATTACAGGTCTTAATTAAATGCTAATAAGCACTTATTACTGTGATAGAAGAATGGAAATAGCTACTTGATGATTTAAGGGCTGTTTATAGGAGTCACTGCTCCTGGATAAACATAGAACTTTTGTTATTTGTCTGTGTGATTAAAATCGGAAAAGACCATAAGAAATTCATCGCAGACATTTTATTTTTGAGGATCTTGCTTTTCTTGTAGATAGTCTTAACTTTTTTGCAGTTGATAACATTTGCAAAGTTGTATGTTCAACTGCAGGGATATTGTGTGTAGTTTGTGGATTGCATGCTCAAACTAGAAGTTTATGCAAACAAAAAAAAGGAAAGTAGATCGCTATTAATTTGTGCATGTAAATAATCAGTTGAAAATACTATCAGTTTAATTGCATGTGCAGATTAAAAATCCTCAAATGAAAACAAGCCTCTTAATATTCAGTTTATATTTATGTCAAAATCTGTTGAGACATGCGATAGTTTTATGATAATTAACAATGGGAAAAACCATAGAAGTCTTGAAGTTTGATTTAGATGAGTACCAGAAATATGGATGTTTATCCATCCCACACATGTCTCTTGAGTTTTCTTGCAAAATTTCTGGTTCTTCAGGCCTTGAGGGAAGCTAGACATGTATTGTAATTCTGCATTTGGTTCCCGCTAGACTCCACAAGAGCAGAGAAAAAGCAGAAGAAAATTACTCATTCATTTTTGAGTTTCCTCACGGACAGGTAGTTTAAGTTGGGGATTTTTTTTTCGTCAGCCTTCCTCGTTCTAGTGGTAGGTACAAAGCTGGAAGAGTTCTACGTGTTTGGCTTATCGCTAAAGTAATTCACATCTGGATCGTGTGAATCTTTTAGGTCTCTTATTTTTGGTGCCAATTGCATGAATCTTCAGAGTTTTCTTATTCTCATCTGTGATGTTAGTAAGTTTCCACTGCAAGCTTGATGATGGGTGCCTTGGAGACCTGTGCTACTAATTATGCTCTGAATTTTCTCTCAGACTGTCTGGCTCTTTGTGGTAGGTTAGGAACTTTATCCCCAGCATCAAGCATTACCAACTCAACTGTAATGAAATAAGAAGCTGCTTGTTGCATGGCATGAAAAGGATGCGCTTAGCAGTGTTTGTGTGATGATGCTAAGCAGGTTAGGAGCTAGAACGCCAGTGAACTTGGCAGTTGCTGTGTTAAGATAATTTAATCGATCCCACTGCAATGTTTTCTCAATGCTAGAATTCTGCCAAACATCTGGCTGGGAAGTTGCCCTCGGCAGCTGGAGCATGTGACCGTCAAGCTGAAGCACGAGCTGGGTGTTACGGCTGTGATGAACTTCCAGACTGAATGGGACATTGTTCAGAATTCCTGGGGCTGCAACCGCTACCCCGAACCCATGAGCCCTGAAATCCTCATGAAACTGTATAAAGAGGAAGGTCTGGCCTATGTCTGGATGCCAACCCCAGACATGAGCACTGAAGGTAATGCTCAGACCACTGTTGCAGCTAAATTAATAGTAAAAACCCCTTTGAGTTACTAATCTGTCACTTTGACGACTGTGGTTTATCTGTGTAAATTTTGCATAAAAACATAGCTAATGCACAAGGTGTAATTTCTGTGTGTGTTGTCTCTAACAAATTGTTCATATTTTCTTGTAGACGGAGAGGCCATCTAAAGTACTTCATGTCTGGCAGTATACGTGTATTTGAGTTTAAAGCCATATGACATTGATAACTGCTTGACTGTTTTTGCTTTCAGCTTGAATTCAGCCCGTATAATGAAAATATGCTGTGTAGGTAGAAGACTGCAAGCTTGCACAGCAGGGCAGCTTGCCGTCCATGCTGGTTAAAAATGGAGAGACAGTGCTGTATGTCTGTCTCTGCTATTCCCCTTCCCCAGCAAATAATTTTTCTTTAACTATAGTATCCCAGTCTGATAAATCTCCACAGAGTCATTTATATAATTATTTGTAATTAATTTAGAATCTCCATAGCACCTCATGTTGTCACATAAATTATTATTTTTAATTCCTCCGTTGGAATGCTCAGTTCAAAATCCAGTAGGTTAAAAAGTGCGCACGTTTTCGCCTGAGTAGCCTACCAGGAGAAGAGAATGCTTTCAACAGAGTGAAATACTGCTGCCACAAATAGAGTACTTTCATATCAGTAATGGGACATCAGGAAAGACAGGAGACCTTAAAACAAGGATTTGAAAGGGCGTAATGTCAGTGCTCATCTGTTCCATGAGGAAAAGCTGGGCTCTGATGTTTGCAGCTTCAGTTCCCGGGGTAACAGGGAGAAAGGCATCAGGAAATATGGTATAGCCATCCCTTTAGGAGTGAGAAAGACTGTTCTGTGTGGTTTAACCATAAGCTTAGTACACAAATAAATCATAACAGTATTAAGTTGTACAGGAAAATACTCCTCTGCTCTCCCTCCCTTATTATTGACACAATGGCCTTCATTACAGTGTTTTGGAAAGCAGCAGTACGTAGGTAGCTTCACAAACCTCTGGTATTAAAAAGCATTGCACTTTTGGCTTGCTAACTTTAATGCTGTATAAAATGTGCTGTTTGATGTAATTTGCTGTCTTATCTCAGTCCCTGTGAAAATGAATCTGCTACACATGTTCAGTGTTAATCAGAATGCATATTTAGAGAAGACTTGGGGCATTTTACAGATTTTGTGTGATCTGAATCTATGTTGCCAGAAGAAACAAAGGTTAGGGTAGAAGGTCATTTGGGGAAAAAAAAAAGAAAAAAACCAAAATATGTCAGGTTTGCCATTGTGATTCATGGTGCATCAGGCTGTACAGACATAATCTCAACCATGAACCTGGCTTTCTCAAATGCAAAGGAACATGGCTTGTTTTTAACCTTAGGAAGAATACAGATGTTGCCACAAGCTGTCTGCCTCTTGCACGGGCTACTGGAGAATGGACACACTGTCTACGTTCATTGCAATGCTGGCGTTGGCAGGTCTACGGCTGCTGTCAGCGGCTGGCTGAAGTACGTGATGGGATGGAGCCTGCGGAAAGTGCAGTACTTTTTGGCTTCCAGGAGACCAGCTGTCTACATCGACGAGGAAGCTCTGATTCGTGCTGAAGATGATTTCTACCAGAAATTTGGGCGTCTTCGTTCCTCATGCAAACTACAAGAGTAGAAAAGCAGAAGAGGAAAAAGAAGGTGAAGAGGAATCCTTACATTTGAACCCCAAGGACTTAGAAATCATGAGCCCTGCCTCTCCTCTTCAGATTATAAGCTTGTCACAGAAGTCATGAGAGTTTTGTGAAAAAAAGTGCCTTTGAGGGTTTCTTACTTGCTTTCTTTAAGCTGATACAATTCATATTTTCAAGCCTTTTTCTGCAAGTATGAGACCTAGAAACTCTGCAAAGGGAAACTAAGATTTTCTTTTAGCTACTTGCCTATAGGAACTGAGGTTTTAGGGTAGACACTAAATAAGACGTGATGTGAACTAGTTAGAGTTGCAATATTTCAGTGACAAGGAAGGGAAAGCATTCTCAGAAAAACACATACAAAGCTTGACTGGATTAAAGTTCAGGTTAGGATGGAGCCGATCATGGTCAAATCTGCTCAGTTGTTTTAGGTAGAGTGTACATTACTGAGGTGTTTTCTAGTAATTTTGTAGACAAGTGGTATTAATGAGAAAGACCAGAAGGAAACTGATTTTTCAGCTCAGCTTCTTAAACAAAAAGCTGATGTCTAATGCAGTGAACTAAAATTTGCTTTCTTTGCCTGTTCTAGTTAATGTTAAATATTATGAGTTACAGCTATATTCTTTTATGACATTGGGATTATGCTGGGATGTGGCATGAAGAGAGGAAACAGCTTCATTTACTGCAGTCTTACTCTGTTGCAGGGAAGGACTACTATTTATGACATTATCCTAGGCTGTGAGGTCTCTAAGTCAAAGATAATAACATATCTTCTGGTCTCTTCTGGTCTATGCAGTGGTATACAGTGGGCTCCCTAGGTGCCAAGTCAATCTAAGCAGTAACCACTGGGCTAAAACAGGACCTACAGGAGCTGTGTGGTAAACCTCTGTGCATGGTTGATGCCACAGCCTCCATGTTGTTGGCCTGGATGAATTTCTTCACTATAGCAAAAGTCTCTTCTTGCACAAGCAGCATGTGGATGTGCACAGATGCTGGATTTAGCCAAGTGAAGCAAATACATTCCTCTGCAGGAGCAAAGAGCAACTCCGTGGAGGGTTTCTGAGGACCCTAAGCCTGAAGTTGGGTTTGTGGATGATCCCTAACTTTTTCCAGTGCTGCTCAGTCCCTTAGCTAAACTAAGCAGTGGCGCCAACAGCTTCCAGCCCTGCTCAGGTAAAACCAGTTTGCTGTAGGTTAAGTCCAAGAGAGATGAGAGAGAAAGCATTTCCTAAGGAGCAGAGAATTAAGGATGTATAAACATTAAGAAACCTAATTTCTATAGGTTTATTGTTCAGTGAAATCTCATTTTTTTTCCAGCCAACTTGACCCTCTGAAGACCCAGTGAGTGCAGAGTAGTTTAGCTGATTGAGTAGTTGATTATCTGAATACTTAATGGAGACACTACAATACGTTTTATTTATCCTATAATTCAATCATCTTCAAAAGGAAAAATGTTTAAGTTATTCTGTATGTGTGGTTTTGATCATGACTTTCTTATATTTTCCTTTGAAATAACACTGCCTGTTTAGAAAATGGATGAGAAAAGTTCTCTATTAAATAAAAACATAATGACAATTCCAGCAGCCCATTTTGTCATATGTCTTTGGCGCCCAATTTCATGAATAGCAAAAAGGGTCATGACTGATATTTCTGTACAGAGGTGGGACCAGCCACTTTAACGGTAACAGCCCATTTCTTGTCTGCTGTGCTGTGTCGGTTTTGATGGGCTGTTAAGGAAATCTCAAAAAACAGCACAGCAAAGATGTGTGGGTGATATGGCACCTCTGATACTTGCAAAGACTAAAAAAAGGGGTTCTTTCTCCTAGCCTGATGTGGAGAGCAGAGGGAGTGTCTCAGTGCTGCTGTGTGGCTGCTGGGCTCTCGTGCAAATGTGCAGAGCTCCAGCTGGGCGCCCACGAGCACCCAGGAGTTACCTTGTTTTGACTGAGTTTAAAGTAAAAATGGGGAGCTTTTGCTACCATGTGCCTCTCAAAATCAAGTGCTGAGAGGAGGAGGATTCCATAAGAAGTAGAGTGTAGAGCTCACTTAAGTTTTACATTTCAGTTGAGATACATTTGAAGCCCCAAGCTTAAAATGTGTTTCCAAGAATCCCTGGTGGACAGTCCTCTCCATCAGATGCAACTTGTAATGTATGCTGGGACAAGTACTTGTGGTTTTGGTCCTTGTTTCACAGCTAACTATTTCTTTTTTAGGGCTCTTGGGACTGAACAGCGCATAATATGGCACAAACAAATAATATCACTAAGGAACTGTAGCTGTGCTGTATCAGCTATTTATAAGTCTGATTTTATAGGCAATGGAAGCAGACTGGTGCTTCATTTGTAGGGCAGGAATTCAAATGATACAGAAGCCACACGTTCAAGGAAGCACTAGCAAGGGGTTGGTGATTCATTGTTTATTGTCATTTCAGTTTGTTTGTCTGCTGAACTGCTGCGGGAATACATACAGATTGCATTAGCTGATGAACTACATGAAAACAATTTGCCAACACCGTGTTAACAAAGAATGCAGAGAGATCCCATGGCTTGCGGTCCCTTTGTACCAATTTGTAGCATCCTTTTGTTCCTCATTGCCACCTTCCTGCCTTCCTCATTGAAGGCCACCCTGTGGAGTAACATTCATTCAAAGCCCTGCCTGTTGAGTGTGACTAGGAATTTAAATGCTGAAGAGATCATTGCAAGAGGCTACAGCAACACAAAAAGCAATCATATAAAAATATTCCATTTCTCCAACTGTATAATTACATGATAAATCTGCATCTAGAGATTACCTATTGGAATTCCAATTTGTAATATGTTCTTATGCTGATTGGATCATTAGCTGTTGCCACAGACTAGCCTCTTGATGCAATTTGGATGAAAGGATGAAGCCAGTCCGTCATTCGTATACTTGCGTATTTCCTTGCTACTTTAGTCAAAAGTGCTACAAAATTTAGAGAAAAAACAACTCCTATAGAAAGAATTGGAAACAGATAAACAGTAAGAGTTATTTTAAAGTGGGCCCAAGAAGCCAAACTAACACATACTCAATAACAGAAGCCAGGTAGAAATATTTTGATAACTCATCACTGAAAAGCATCATTTGGGGAAAATGTTTTTCTGCTGCTATGAGCATCAGTATTCTCAGCCCTGTTACCAGGTTTTTGCCTCTGTTAAAGCAAAGAAGAAAGTAGGATTTGTTACCTGGGATGGGACCATTTATAACTCCAGGTACTTAGAGTATCTCGATGTCATTATTAGGCTAAACAATAATATATATTCTTTCCCAGGGCTATGTTCATGAAGGAGCTAAGCAATCCTAGCTCTTACTAGTGATTTTATAACAAACACAGCCCCTTGAGGGATGAGTCGGGCTTTGAGTGGTATAGTTTTGTGAATACTTTTCCTTTTGACATCAAAAAAGTACTAATGAGAATCTTCTGCATGACGTTTTTAGGTAGGCAGTGCAGCCTGGTGAAAGGAGACTGGGCTGGCTGGCACGGCTGTTGAATACCTTCCTTTCTCACTTACTCTTTACTTGTTTCACACTCTGCACTTTGGTCCCTTTGGCACTACTCTGCTCTAGTCGCTTCAGTTGTAAGTTCTTTGTCTTCCCTTTCTGTTCGTACAGCACCAAGCACAGTGAAGCTCTGGATGTGGCTGGGACTGGAGGTTTTATACCAGGTTGTACTCCGGAGTAGTTGGAAAGCCTCACAGCTGGCAACCAAGTTGTGCATGCTGCACAAAACCATGTGCAAAACAGTGTTTCTGCTCTGGGGTGGAATTAAGATTTGAGACTGCCAGCCAAGCCCTCTTGGGCAAAGATAAAGGAAAAAGATAGTCTGTAGGTTGTGCAGGAGCAGGTCATAAAATCCCTATTTAAAACAAGAATCCAAAAAGTCAGACTTGCTCCATTAGGTACCATGATGTCCTTTTTGAGTTCTAATTTATAAACCCCACTGACTTTAGTGGTCTGTAACTGAGAAAAAAATTTGATTTGAAGTGGTCAAAGACATTTGCCATAACTGTATTCCCCTGTTGCTTCTTTTATGCTTCATTGTTAAATTGCAGAGAGGTTTCAAACCAATGATAGAGTTAAAAAAAAATTCTTTAAAAAAATACGCTGGGACTGTGCAACAGGAAATTATGAAGTAATATTTAGAAGCATAATAACTACCACAAAAGCATATATTTGGCAAGCAAGCCCTACTTTCTTGAAGGATAATGAACATCAGGCTGCCCTTAGCTAAAATGGAATTGGATTAATGTAGCAGAGGACAGGATATAGATGACTGTCTCCAGCTCTAACTGTTTACGTTCTTGGTGGTAAATCAACACCTCTGCAGTTATTGCCTTAAAAATATTCTGCTGGAAAAAATTGTGTTTTATTTTCCACATGGCTCTGAGGGAGCAGACTTTGGAATGGTGGAAGAATAAAGGAATTAATCCTTTTTCTGTTTCTCAGGGGCACAACAGCATCACCACTAGCAAGACCAAACCATATGACTACATAATTGATCTTCATCCTAAATTAACGGAGGAAAGCAGTTTTTTCAAGGGCAATGACATTAACATATATTAGCATAATTGCACAGTTGTGAACAGTGAAGGGTTTTCATTCTTACTTAGACATATTTTCCTCTTGCTCCACCCATTTAACTCAAGATGCTTCATTCCAGTCTTGACTAGTTTATAAACGTGTTTGTGACTAAAAATTGCTGTATTGGTAAAGATAAGTAATGTGTATTTTATTAAACCTTTTTTACATATCAAGGCTTGTCTGGGGCTAAGGAAATAAGAACTGTTATACCCTGTAAAACAAGGATGGTGACATTGTGAGCCTTAGCCCTATATAATTCAACCTTTTTGTGCTTAAACATGTTGTCTTATTTGGGAGATTGAATTTATAAAGATTGCAGGATAATATCTGTGATTTCATAATTACTTCAATGCTGATGTTGTTATATTTACATCAAGGAAAATAGAAGGCCTGTTTATTCATGAGCTGGTAAAATATTAAATGATATCTCATTCTTGATTTAGGTGATGTGAGGAAAAAGCATAAAACAGCTGCCAAGAAAAGATTTCTAATGCTGGGCAGGTTTCTGTGGTCTTTACTTAACGTCATTATAACAAAATTTGTTTTGTGGTAATGCAGTTTCAGCAGGGAAATAATTAACAGTCAGGCCATCGTCCAAGAATAGCAGCCATGTTTAAGTTGGGCATCCAGCCCAAAGTCACTGCAACAGATCAAATGCTGAAAATGAATCCAATCTTCAAAAATTCAATAAAATTCATAAACACAGCGGTTAAGAAATGAATATAGAGATTGTATTTGGAGAAAGGCAAAAATATATAAAGTATAATCCTAGCTAATGTCAAAGGGAAAAATATTTTGGAGTGGGATAGCAAGCACCACAACTCATTTGAAAACATAATCAATATGTTAGATAAAAATATAGCTGGTATTTAAAGTTCACTACCCAGTTAAAGGGACAGTACCAAACTATTAGGCTTACAATATTTAGCTGTATAAAGAAAGAAACGTGGAAGGGTAAGCTCTCAAGAACACAGAGCAGTTTTATACCCTCTCTTGGGCAGCTACCTCATGGAGTATACTTGAGCAGGTGAAGCTTTTTGAGCGCAAGGGTGGTTGCTGGTGCATTGTGGTTTAGCAGTCAAATAAATCCCTTGCGTAGAGATGTGTTGTTCTGAAATAGGATCAATAGGGCTATGCTTTAGAAGAACTAATGGGAAGGGCAGCTCTTAAAATATGCTTAAATGATAGCTCCAGATGGAAGTCTAAACAAGCATATGTCTTGATGGAGTCTTTCTCTTCATGTGTGTCTTGCTGAAACAGGAAAGCCCCTTAGAGGTCTTTTGTCCCTTGACACCTGTGCTTAAAGCCAGAGCACCAGAATGGGAAATTGTAACTGTGAGTAGCAGTGGCCTCGACCCCTGTTAGTTAATTATTAAATGACATCATTCAGACTGTTGCCAAGTTTAGCAGAGCTGGCGACATTCAGAGGAAGGCTGCCGTGTGGATGTCTGAGAAATATCTGGAATGAAGGAGCTAAAACTCATCTTGCAGAACCAAGATGGCCCAGTGGGATCCAGCCAGCAGAAGGGTGGACTGGCAAACAAGAGACAGCTCCTGCACCCAGTGCTGCCTCTGCAGGTGAAATGGATTATTTAATCTCTTGAGTTAATCCCTGTTTCTTAACACAACACGAAGGATGCTTAACCTCAGACCTCTGCCAGTAACTGGATGGAACAGCTGCTGTTCTTAGTGCCTCCGTCCACAGTGGAGCACTCGATCAGACACTATTTCAGGTACTTTGCGAGTCCGTGTTAATATGGTCTAAATGAGCTGGCTTAAATTTCACAGGTAGT